TGTGTGTGTGTGTGTGTGTTACTCTTCAATCTGCTACCTGGGTCTGGCTTATGGATGTGTGTGTGTGTGTGTGTGTGTGTGTGTGTGTGTGTGTGTGTGTTACTCTTCAATCTGCTACCTGGGTCTAGCTTTACTGCTTTCTCTGACCTTTGTATGTAGATTTATCAGAACCTCAAGATTTGTGTAATTTTATTTTTTGAGACAGGTCTCACTATGTAACCCAGACTAACCTCAAACTTCCCGTACCCTGCCTCAGCTTCCTCATTGCTGGGATTATGGGTGTGTGCCACCGTGTCTGGCTTAGATTTGGATTTTTGGCATTCGATGTACTAATGCTGGGGCTGGGGCTTGCCAGGGCCTGGCTGATTGTGTAACAAATACAGAAGATTTATTTTTGAGAAACATTTGCTGCCTTTAAAGGAAGGTGTGTGTCTCTGCTTCTGGACAGGCACCACCCACAAGAACTGGGTGGGCAGCTGGAGGTCCAGGATGGGACCCCATTGGAATATAGGGGTGGGGAGAAATCAAGAAGCACCAGGGCCCCAGGACCCCTTTCTGCCTTGGCCAGAGGATTGTAGCAAAGGGAGCATCCTTAAAATGAAGGTTCATTGGGTTTATTTGTCTAACCAACCCAGGCATAACTGGCAATGAGGGGTCTTGAAGGCCCAGAAAGAGGGAAAGACAAGGGGGGCTTGCAGACCCCGGCTCCACTGCTAGTTAAAAATACAAAAAATGGGGCTGGACACACACACACACACACACTCATGTACACACACACACACACACACACACACACAGAGGCATGCACGCACGCACGCACGCACACATACCCACACACACCATGCCAAGGTCTTCTGGAGCAGGAGATTCATCTTGGAAAAACACCAGTTCATACAGCTGGGGCAAAAGTAATCCAAACATGAGTTTGAGACGGGCAGGAAGAGCCAGCCTGGAGGGGGTGGGAAGGGACAGCAAGCCTCAGAGCAGTTGATGGAGCCCAGCCATGAGGTAGTCTGTGCAGGCTCTCTGCTTTGTGGGGGTCTCAGAGAGGGGAATGGGAGGCTTGGGACTTCGATGGGACCTCTGAACTAACTTCACTGGAACAGACCACCCAAACCAGTCAGATGTCGCTGTTTCCAGAGAGGCACAAGAGCAGCCTGGGGGTTCAGGAAAGGAGAGGCCAGAGACTCGCCACCCCCACGTCAGATCTCTGCCCTCGGCTCAGGCCTGCCTCCCGAGAGCCACTGCCCTCACTAACAGAACTTCTGTGGGCCCGTCCTACTGGGGTGTATATGTAGGCAGAAGGAGCCCACACGGCATGGTTCTTTCTACTTAGCATTTATGCTCTCTAGACTCATCCAGGCTATTGTACCACACACATCCCTTTTATCTTAAGGCCACCTAGTATTGGATATATACAGAGGAGGTGACATGCCTCACTATTGTCCTTCCCCTTCTCAGACTCACTCCACCACCTTCCTACAGTGACTACCACAGAAGAACTGTGTGGGGCGATTAAGTCAACTGAGGAATGAAACGTAAAGACTATTTCCATATATGAATATATATGTATATATTAGGAATGAGTGCTCTGTCTGCATGTACGACTTTATGCCAGAAGAGGGCATCGGATCCCACTATAGATAGTTGTGAGCCACTATGTGGTTGCTGGGATTTGAACTCAGGACCTCTGGAAGAGCAGCCAGTGCTCTTAACTACTGAGCCATCTCTCCAGTCCCCCACCCCCCAAATATATGAATCTTAAGTCTCCACTCTGTGGAGTCCTTACTACAGTCCAAGGACTGCTCTCCAAGAATGGCAACTCCATTCAAGCGCATCTCAGTCTCACCGAGTCCAAGACCTACCCCATGACTACGCATCCTACTGTTAGCCCTGCTGTCAAAGCTACTTCCAGGACCCGGGGAGTCTCAAACAGGTTCCCCAGCATTCCAGGAAAGAGCCCTTCCCTTCTCCCCCTGTCCCAGGAAGATTACAGACCTGTTCTTTGGTATGCTCTGGGACACAAATAGGCACACACATATGTATAGCACACTCAGTATTTACAACGCACAGCTAGCCCAAACTACTCTCGAACTGGAGACCCTCCATTCTCAGCTTGGAGTGCGGACAGTACAGAGGCAGCGGACAGTACAGAGGCATGCCACCTCGCCAGGCCAAATTGTAAATTTATATATGGTTCCACTTGCCACCCTTTCCCTCCAGTATTACCAAGTTGGTTGTGTTACTGAGATCACAAAAATATTCCAGTGGAGCTGGAAAGACAGCTAAGTAGTTAAGATCACTTGCTGGTCTTGCAGAGGGCCTGGGTTCAGTTCCCAACCATCCCTAACTCCAGTTCAGGGAGATCTAGCACACTCCTCCAATTTCCACCAGCACCAGGTGTTAATCCCCAAGATGGGAGGAGAAAGACCACCAACCCAAATCATCATGGGCAAATTAATTAAAGCAAGCAATTAATTAAAGCTAACTTTTTTATTCATGAACACGGGCTGCCTCCCCCTAAGGTGGGGTTCAAGAGGTCAGCATTGGATTTGAGGAAGACAAGGCTTTTACAGCTCATGGGTAGGGGATTTCCAAATGGGAGATTTGACCGGCAAAATAGGTGGGGTTATAGGAGCAGAATGGAACATGTGGCCAAAACAAGGTCATCACAACAGGTAGTCATATAACGTTTTGAAACACAGGTAGGGTTGTAAGATGGTTATAAACAACTTTGTGAAACAAAGACATGATTGCCATTCTGTATAGGCAGTACAGAACCATTGTAGTTAAGGTTGGGGGTGGGCATAGCCCAATCCTTGAGAAACATAAGTTTTATCATGAACAGGAACAGACTTAGTTTGTTTTCTACTATAGGATGGCTTTTAAGCCTAAAATGGAGGAAGGCTGTTCTTCTTTTTTTTTGGGGGGGGGAGGGGTGTCTCTGTGTAGTTTGGGTGCCTGTCCTGGATCTCGCTCTGTAGACCAGGCTGGCCTCGAACTCACAGAGATTCATCTGGCTCTGCCTCCCAAGTGCTGGGGTTAAAGGCATGTGCCACCGCGGCCAGCGGAAGGCTGGTTCTTTACAGGCATAGATGTGGTACACATATATACATTCAGGCAAAACAGTCAAGCACATAAATCTTAAAAAAAAAAAAAATTAAGGGACCAGAGAAATTGCTTAACAATTAAGAACCACTTGTTGCTCTGGCAGGGGACCTGAGTTAGGTTCCCAGCATTCACAGGGACAGCAGCTCACCATTTCCCGGGATCTGACTCTTCTCACTCGGCAGGCACCAGGCATCCACGTGTTATACAGCCACACATGCAAGCAAAAACACGTATACACATAAAACAAAGATAAATAAATTTAATAAATAATTTTTAGAAACTTAAAAAAAATCGAGTTTCTGCCAGTACAGTTTTGGTTTCTTTTCAGATTGATTTAAATGTTTGATCCATCTGGGGTTTACTTGACTTGAAGCAGCGAGGGAGGGGGCCAATTTCTATTTTTCCAGATGGCCGGCCAGCTGGTCCCAATGCCGTTAGATTGGAAAACTTTTTCACAGTCCGTTAGCTCACTCGCAGACTACATATCTGCTCTCCTTTGCAGACGCAGAGGCTGGCGCGCAGGCGCTGTGTCACCAACAGAGGCAGCTGGTCCAGGGTAAGCTGAGGCACCGCCCTTTGCGGGGGGGAGTATAGGAAAAGGATGGTGAAGACCCCGCCCCCTAGCGAAGAAAAAGGCCCGCCCAGTCTGAGAAGCCCCGCCCACAGACCCAGGCCCTCCCCGTCTAAGGTCTGCGAAGCCAATGGTGCTTTCCCAGGGAGGAGGTCCACAGCCGCAGACGAGTCCTCGGACGTTATTTGCATAGAGGTGGGGCCTCAGGAGCGGAGCCAACCCTTCCCCGAGCGCGCCTCATTTGCATCGAGTCCCCCACCCCCCGCAGTGGAGCGGACACCGCTTCCTCTCCCCGCCAGCTTCCTCGCTGGCCTTCCGCCTTCTTTCCTGACCTCGGCTCTGTCGCTTCTGCGGCCTTCCGTGCCTCCTGAGTTCCGTATCCAGATGCTTCCCAAGCGGCGGCGAGTGCGGCCTGAGTCCCCAGACCGCGCTGGTGCTTCCTCCGCGCCGCCGCCGGTGCGCTTCCCGGGGGTGGCCATCTACCTGGCCGAGCCGCGCATGGGCCGCAGCCGCCGGGCCTTCCTCGCGCGTCTGGCGCGGTCCAAAGGCTTCCGCGTCCTAGATACCTACAGGTGTGCGGCTCCCGCGAGGGCCCGGTGTTGGTGGGGTGCCAGCCTCGCGGGGGGCTGGTATAAGCCGGCCACCCTAGGGTATGTTCCCACCGTGGCCCAGGGCGGGAGATGGTTCGCAGCTGCGGACGGCAGCACCTGCGGCTTTGGGACCTAAGCCAGCCCTGGCACTTCGCGGTCACAGTACCTTCCTCCAACTCAGAGTTCCTCTTTTTTAAGACGGTGCCATCAAGCCAGAGACTTCTTAAAAAGCCATACAAGGAAAAGTAGTTAGCCATATTTGCTAGCCGCTCTCCCTCCCAGTGAGCCAGTGGTCAAGGATGTCCTGAGTTTGCAGAAGTCACCAACCAGCTCCTGTAGAGAACATGCCCAGGGCAATGGAGTAACTTTGCGACTGAGAGTAATAAAGGAACTTGGAGCCTGGCCCCCTTAGGCTGGCTAGCTTGCTTGCACCCCGCCCCCAAATAATGAAACATTCCTAAAGACTAGTGCACCAGACTCACACATGAGTGAAGAAAACAACTTGGATTGCACATGGCTCTACGTTTTTACAACAGCCCGACAAAATAGTTTACATTGGATTTCTCCAATGCAAAGCAAATAGAGAGACCATGCTTTTTGCCTACTGGGGTTTGAACAAATAGGGCAAAACTCTTGTGTCTGTATTTAAATCTTAGCAGGGTGGGTTGCCTGCCTGTAATCCTGGTTGAAAGGGTGCTAGAGTTCTGTCCTACATAGCAAGTCTCCAAACAATTAGCATTGAGATCAGAACCACCTGGCCCTGGCAGACAAGTTAACCAGTCAAACTGGCTGGTGAGTGTCCCTGCACTAAGAACCAGGTAGAAGAGTGGAGAGGGGTGCATCCGTCTCAGGAGGGGCTGGGAAGGCTTTCTGGAAGAAGGCATTTGAAGAAAGCAGGACAGTCATCATAGAGGGCACTACAAAAGCAAAGTTTGGTATAAGGGCAGGACAGCAGAGGCCCTGGGTCTCATTCTCCTCCTCTTACCCCAGCTCGGAAGTGACGCATGTGGTGATGGAGCAGACCTCAGCCGAGGAGGCCATCTGCTGGCAGAAGAACATGGATGCTCTTCTCCCAGGCCGCCCCCAGCCAGTTCTGCTGGACATCAGCTGGTTTACAGAGAGCATGGCGGCAGGGCAGCCTGTCCCTGAGGAGGTCCGGCACCACCTGGAGGTGAGCTAGGGAAGGACTAGCTCAGCTGTGACAGTGCCTCAGTGTCCTCAGGAGCAGGTGGGGACTGAGAAACCGATAGAGGCCACAGCAGGGATTTGGGGCCAGACCATCCCACCTCTGTTGTGAGCATTTGGGACCTACTTACTTCTAGTATATTTAGGTGTTTCTTCCTTAGTACTTGGGATGAACTGAGTTGACAGGAACCTGTCCTCCAGATGCTTGGGAGCCAGGTTGCTAGGAGACAGGAGGCAAGCTCCCTCGCTTCTGAGACCTCAGTTCCCCGCCAAAACATATAGAGTTGAGGGGTAGAGGACATGCCAATCCTGCGGCTTCATGATGACCCGTGCCTTGCCTTTTTGCAGGTACCTGAACCCAGGAAGGAGCCCCCAAGCTCAGTGATGATGCCAACTTACGCCTGTCAGCGTCCCACACCTCTCACACACCATAACACTACCCTCTCAGTAAGCTGCGTCTGTGTGCAGATCCCTGCCCCAGAGAGCAGGGCTAAAGCTGGTTGGTCGCTAAAAGGTTGAGGCAAGGTCCCATGCCCACCTTGTACCTTAACCAAGGGCCCTCCCCGCAGGAGGCTCTGGAGACCCTGGCAGAGGCAGCAGGTTTTGAAGGCAACCAGGGCCGTCTTCTCTCCTTCTCCAGAGCCGCCTCGGTGCTCAAGTCTCTCCCCTGCCCTGTCACATCCCTGAGCCAGCTGCAGGGGCTGCCCCTCTTTGGAGAACACTCCTCTAGGGTAATCCAGGTAGGTGCTTGTCGTACTGAGTGGGGTGAGTGTGTGGAGTGGGAGGCCCTGGGCCTGGTGGGATAGCAGGAGAGTTGGTGGTTCAGAGCCCAGTCTGGAAGTATGGGCATGCACACGGATGCCGCTTCGAGGCCACAGTAAACCATTTCAAGCTCAGATTCACGGGTACGTGAGCTGTTCCCCCGCCCTAGGGTGGATGAGCAGATTCAGTGGAGGTTGCTGCATTGGTGCCGTTGTTGGTGCCAGGATGTCTGGGTTTTTTTGAGGACCCAACGTTGAACCGACCTTTTGGATACTTTTCCTTCAAGAACCCATAGTGGCAAAGCCGCTTTTAGATGAAGTCATACATGTTTCTAAAGGTAAACATTGGTATATCCTGGGACTCTCATGAGGAGTGAGCCAATCATAGGTCCCGTTGACTGTTACAACTCCAGCCCTGAAGAGCTTTGTGGCTGGGGCCCCTGCCACCCCAGCTGTGCCTTGCAGCTGTGGTTACCTCCCTGGGTGCAGTCTCCCTTCCAAGTACTGCTAGTCCCTGATACCACAGAGCCCCTCTCCGCAGGGTGTGGAGGGAACTGCCTCACCCTCGGGCTCAGAGTTTTGTTTTGTCTCCTGTCCCAGGAGCTGCTGGAACATGGAACATGTAAGGAGGTGGAACAAGTCCGCAGCTCAGAAAGGCACCAGACCATGAAGGTGTGTCGGGGGGTGGGGAGGGGGTGTGTGGCTAGGACCCTGCATAGCATAATCCACAGCATGAGCAAGCAGCCAGCAAAGGCCTTTTCGCCCCGCCTGGGGTCATAGTGGGTCACTAAGAAATGGTAGCTAAACTGATACCTGATAGGCACCAGGCTGCCACTGGGAATGCAGGCAGAGGCTGTTTTGAGCATAGGGAATTTTCTGCATTATGCAGTACCATCTGGTTTTTTGATGGAATATTCTTGTATGTATTAAAGAGCACACTGAACAAAATGTGTATATCACCCCATCTCTGTGGTCTCAGGTGTCATTCTTGGTGCAGGCCAGAAGAGGGCACCAGATTTCATTATAGATGGTTGTGAGCCAGCATGTGGTTGCTGGGAATTGAACTCAAGACCCCTGGAAGAGCAGCCGGTGCTCTTGACCTAGCATATTTAATTTTTAAAATTTTTGTTTATTTCTTTGGGGGAAGGCACACACCGTGGCACATGTGGAGGTTAGAGGACAGTTTGCAAGCGTTAGTTCCCTTTCTGCTGGGTAGAGTCCAGAGGTGGAACTCAAAACTCCAGGCTTGGCAGTCCTGCCTTTCCTGCTGAGTTTCACCAGCCTATTATCTATTCATCTGTCTTTCTGTCTGTCTGTCTTTTTCTGTCTCTCTATCTATCTGTTTTGAGACAGTTTTGCTTTGTAGTGCAGGCTGGCCTCAGTCTCCCAAGTGCTAGAATTACAGACAAGTGCCACAGCACCAGGGGTTGGTTTGTTGGTTTTGGTGGACTGCATCTCACACAGCCCAAGCTGGGCTAGAACACACTCTGTAGCTGAGCCCACCTTCCCCCTGCCCTCCCCTCCCAGATGCTAAGATACCAGAATGCACTGCCTTATTCAAATCGTGTCAGATTAGTTTTTTTGTAGGTTTATTCTTTAAATTACACAGATGCATGCATGGGTAGGTGTGCATGTATGTACACACACACACACACACACACACACACACACACACACACACACACACACAGTATGGGTGAGTGAAGTGGGCAGAGGTGACAGATCTCCTGGAGATAGAGGCAGTTGTAGATTCCCTGACCTGGGTATTGGGAATTGAACTCAGGTCCTCTGCAAAAGTGGTACTTGATCTTTTTTGTTTGTTTTTGTCTTTGTTTTCTCGAGGCAAGCTTTCTCTGTATAGCCCTGGCTATCCTTGCTCTATAAAGCAGGCTGGCCTTGAACTCAGAGACCCATCTGCCTCTGCCTCCTAAGTGCTGGGATTAAAGGCGTGTGCCACCACCGCTACCGAGCTAGTACCAGATTTTGAAAGCCAGGTTCTGTCTTACACTGTGAGTTCAGAGAATCAAGGAAACAGGGTTGGGAAAAGCCCAGGAAGGGCAGGGCTGAGACAGTCCTTCTCCAAGGCAGCTCTATTTGGTTTGTTTGTGATAAAATTCGAGGCTGCCCTGTATCTGTCGCAGGCGTGCATGGCCACACCTGGCCTTCATCCTCCTGATACGTATAGGTATCCTCCGCTGCTAGGAGACATAGCCCCAGAAGGGTTTGGACCATGTATACAATCTCGACTACTGTGTGGGCTGGCCTTAGTCTCATCCCAAAATTCCTGGGAGAGTCTCTCCATGATTGGCCCAAGGCAGACAACATGCTTCTTAGTCCAGGGCTCCACGGACCCTTTGGCGTCTGAACCTTTGGGAGCAAGTTCTCCACACCTGCTGTGGTAGAGGCTGGCCAGGCCTCCTGTGCCTCTGTTGAACCCGCCCTCTTTGTTCAATCTTCCTTGAGTTCGCTGTTGAAGGGAAAGCACAATAAATCCCAGCTGTAGTAAGTGGAGGCATTTTCCCAGTGAACTAAAAACCTGGCGAGCCAGTATATCAGGATAACTCCACTCAGGCTGGGCCTGGGCATTAAGGGGACAGACCTTTTATAAGGGGTGAAGAGAGAGCTTCCTGAAGTTTTCTGGTAGTTGGGCAGCTGAAATATGCTGTCCCTAGTGGGGCTACTCTAAGGGTATGTGGGTCCAGTCCCCTGTGACAGTGGTCTGGGTGGGCCAGACTCCAGGATCGAGTCCTCCTCCTGTGGCACTGGGCATGACGGCAGCATTCTCAGGGACACCTTCCAGGGAATTTGCCCCTGACCTGTCCGTCCCTTCTTCTTCTTCTCCCACGCAGCTCTTCACCCAAATCTTTGGGGTTGGTGTGAAGACTGCCAACCGGTGGTACCAGGAAGGCCTGCGAACCCTGGATGAGCTCAGAGGGCAGCCCCAGAGACTGACCCAGCAGCAGAAAGCAGGTGAGCTTTCCAGAGCCACCTGGACCTGGGGAGCCCTACACACGGAAGCCCTTCGCTCTGCTGGGGATCATGCTGACTGACTCCCTGAGTGCCGGGGAGCAGCTGGTGCAGAGGGATCCTGGTAGCAAGTAGATGGGCTCCCTGGGGTGTTCTCCCTGGAGCTGGGGTCTACCATGGCTCTTCCTCAGTGACTGTTATTATAGCAGTGCCGTGGCATCTGGGCCTCATGTTTCCTCCTGTTTGATCTCAATTTGTGTTGAGGACAGTCTTGGTCTGGGCCTGCCTGTCCAATGTGGTGCCTGGTATACATAGTCTTGGGGTACAGGTGCCACCATTGAGTGGAAACAGCATAAGCCTTGGGTTTGTTATGCCTGGTTTGGGTCCTCTCCTCTCCATGGTATATAACCATGGCCTCAGGACTAACCTCTATGAGTCTTGGTTACCTTCTCTGGGAAACACAGAGAAATGATAGCATGAAACTCCTGAGTGCTTCTGGAAGCCAGCAGGTGATGAGCAGGCATTTGGTCTGTGTAGCCTGCCTGGTCGCTCCAGTGGTCTTGGCTGGAGACTCTACTGAAGGGCGCCACGGCCTGCCAATGTCCTTCCCGGGGTGCTTCATGCTTCAGTTGTCTCTTCCTGGGGCAGGGTAGACAGGATGGCCAGCAGTGTTTACTAAGAGCTTGCTGTGTGCAAGACTTTGCCGTTTCTCATGCTTAAACCTCCTTAACTGAGCATGGAGGGCACAGCAGTGCCCCTGTGACAGGCCAGAAGACGAATGGGCCAAAGGAGAGGTGGCTAGGAGCGGACTCATCTTCGTCGCGTCTTTTTTATCACCTTTTGGTTGCCTTTGATTAGTGGAGAAGCTGAAACCTAGGACGTGCAGGCTGTGTCTTGCCTGTGTTAGCTTCATTGTGCCATGTAGTTCTATGAAGGAGTTTTTGGTTTGTTATGTTGTAATGTTGGGGATTGAACCTAGGGCCTTATAAGGCACATGTTAAGCTCTGCCCCAGCTCTCTGGGATGTAGCCATGGCTGGCCTGAAACTCTATATATAGACCGTGCTAGTCTCAAACTCACTGGAGTTTTTCAAGATACTAAGTTTGTGGGGGGAGTTGGGTAAAGGGCACCAGGGATCTTGTTTCCTTCAGTTGCATGAGAATCTATAGTTATCCCCAAATAAGAATTTATTTTAAAAGGAGGAGTGGACCAGGAATAGGATCTCGATCTGCTCCGGCTCCAACCCTTCCCTCTGCCTTTCCTACAGCCACAGGGCTGTGGTGGCTGTTGCGTCTGGGGGGTGGGGCTCTCTGAGGAAGATGGGCTGTGCTGCCCACAGGGCTCCAGTACTACGAGGACCTGAGCACCCCAGTTGGGCGAGCTGACGCGGAGGCCCTGCAGCAGTTGGTGGAGGCCGCTGTGAGACAGACCCTGCCTGGAGCCACCGTCACGCTGACCGGCGGTTTCCGGAGGTAAGAGGGCCCACCGTCCCTTCCGAGGATACCCTAGGCTCCTCCCTAAGGTAGGGAGTTGAGTTGTGGATGCCGAGGCGGCCTTTCCACTCACTGAAGGGAACATGGCCTTGTGTTGAAGCCAGAGAATCAAACGTTCTCTTTCAGGGGGAAGTCAGAAGGTCATGATGTGGACTTCCTTATCACTCACCCTGAGGAGGGCCAAGAAGCGGGGCTGCTGCCCCGAGTGATGAGCCAACTGCAGAGGCAGGTGAGGACTTCCGGCACCCTGCCCAGCAGTGACGACTGACCAGCCCTCTGCCCTCCCAGCACCAGGGCAGCACCCGGCCACACCTGCCTCCCCTCTCGCAGGGACTTGTGCTGTATCACCAATATCATCGCAGCCACTTAGACTCTGGCCGCCTCCTGCGGCAGAACTACACCATGGACGCCTTCGAGAGGAGTTTCTGCATCTTGTGCTTGCCCCAGCCCCCGCGTGCAGCTTTAGTGGGGAGCCTGCAGCCCTGTCCAGCCCGGAGAGCCGTGAGGGTCGATCTTGTGGTCACCCCCAACAGCCAGTTCCCCTTCGCTCTTCTTGGCTGGACTGGCTCCCAGGTAGGTCTTGTGTTCCTTGGGGGGCCTGGGCCTGCGGTGGGCCGGCCCTGCCAAAGGCACGTGTCCTCCCCATCCCTCCCCAGCTTTTTGAACGGGAGCTGCGGCGTTTCAGCCGGCAAGAGAAGGGGCTGTGGCTCAACAGCCATGGACTGTTTGATCCCGAGCGGGTAAGTTGCCAGAAACCAGGGTGAAAAACGGTTCCTATAACCCGGGTCCTGGTCCCCAATCTCAAACATAATGTGCATTGCCAGGGAGTATAACATGGTCCCAGCTACGCTGCACAATAACATGGACCTGGCCCTGCACTGCATGGAAGCATGGCCTGGGCCCACCTACACTGGATAGTAGCATGGCCTGGGCCCGCTATACTGGATAGTAGCATGGCCTGGGCCCGCTACACTGGATAGTAGCATGGCCTGGGCCCAGCTGCACTGGATTGTAGCATGGCCTGGGCCCACCTACACTGGATCGTAGCATGGCGTGAGCCCACCTACACTGGATTGTAGCATGGCCTGGGCCCAGCTACACTGCATGGAAGCCTGATCTGGGCCCAGCTACACTGCATGGAAGCCTGATCTGGGCCCCAGCCACTGATTCTCTTGTTCCTTGCAGAAGACATTTTTCCATGCAACTTCTGAGGAAGACATTTTCAGACTCCTGGGCCTCAAGTACCTCCCTCCAGAGCAGAGAAACGCCTGATCCTGCCTGCTGGCCACCACACCCACGCACAAAAAATGAGGGGTCGCCTCACGTTTGACCAGGATGTTTGTGGACAGAAGGTGTGCTGCCACCCCATCGCCTCACCTGTGCAAATGGAGTTTTCAGCGGCGGCGGCGGCGGCGGGGACATTGGCAAGGGGTGACCCTGAGTCAGCTTTCAACCGCCACACTCCCCAGGGTTGGGGGCTCTGAGCAGTTCGTAGATCATGGAACTATGGCCGTCTGAAGTCTTGGTTCTGGTCCTGGTGTGAGCATTTGGTCTGTCCAGCTGCTGTCTGCTGGATACCCTATTCAGTGTGCTGGAAAAGGGACCCGTGTGCCTGCCCTGTGCTTGAGCTGATATGGGAAGTATAATTCTGGTGATGCACAAGAAACCTGAGTGAGGTCTGTGCTACAGAATCTGGAGAAGGAAGTGGCCCAAGACAGCACCCTGGGGCTGCCGGGCGCCACCACCCACAGCTGGGCCCCAGACTTCATAAGTGGCACAGCCCCAGAGTCCTCTTCCACATGCCTCTTCTTCCACTCGTAGCTATTGCCCCCTTCACACTCCAGCCTGGGCTGAGCCTAGCCTGCCTACCCACAGTCCCCTTTGCATCCACAGCCCCACAGTGAATTCTGGGACAGAGGCTGTGCAGCTCAGCCTGGCAGCAATACTGAAAACCGGCAAGATCAGTGGGCTGCAGCCGAGTGCCCTTGCTGTCTTGAGTTGTGAGGTGCAGGCTCCCCGGTCCTGTCTCAAAACCAGTCGCTCTGCCACTTCCGACAGCCCCTGCGGCAGTTCCAAACCTGCAGTCCTCAGGCGGGTCCGTGGCTCTGGCATTTCTGTCACCTCTTCCAGTCTCAGCTGTATCCCTCTAGTTAAGCCCCGCCCCTTCCCGGTTCACTTCCTGTCCCTGTTTGCAGACCCTTTGTGACCAACTCCTTCACCTACTTGAGGCAGAAGCACTGACGTGGACTCGGCACAATGTCCTCCATTTCCCTCACACCCCCGGCACCCTCTGACTCAGAAGGCCCTTGCCCTTGCCTACTGTCCACCCAGTGCCCACTCTCCCTGACAGAGGAGAGCCTCCCAGACCAATCGCCACATTATAAGTATTTTAAAGATCGACATTCAATAAAGTGAATTTTTTTTTAATCTATTTATTTATTATGTCTACAGTGTTCTGCCTGCATGTATGCCTTCACACCAAAAGAGGGCACCAGATCTCTTTACGGATGGCTGTGAGCCACCATGTGGTTGCTGGGAATTGAACTCAGGACCTCTGGAAGAGCAGTCAGTGCTCTTAACCTCTGAGCCATCCCTCAGGCCCTGATGAATTCTTATGGAGTCTAGCATAGAGCATTTTAACACACACACACACACACACACACACACACACACACACACACACACACCATCAGTGCACAATAGCTGTGTCCTCCAGAACCTTGCCTTACAGCGTGCTGGTATGGTGACAGGCTTAGCCCAAACCACTCATTTGGTTTTGTCCCTACAGATATGTCATAGCCATGCAACTAAGCTTTATGTAAGCCATTGTTGGGGGCTCCTGCAATTGCCACATGTATCAAGTTTGTTTCTCCTGTTGCTGCACGCTGTGAGCCTCCCACTGTCCACCCAGCTCCAGAAGGTTTACACTGGCTTTGTGATTGTAACTAGAGCTGCCGTGGGCACGCATGTAAGTGTATCTGTGTGAACAGTGCTGTCCTAGTTACAAAGCAACTTAAGGGAGAAAGGACTTATATTATGGCTCACAGTTCAAGGTTCAGTCCATCATGGCCTGGAAGGCATGGAGCTTGAGGGAGCTTGACTCCTTGGCCAGGAAGCAGAGATGAATGTGCATGCTCAGTTAGTCTTTTTATGCACTAGCAAGCTGAAGGGTGTCATCCACATTCAGGGTGGGTCTGCCCACCTCAGTTAACCTAATAGAGGTAATCCCTCACAGGCATGCCTGGAGGCTTGTCTTCTAGGTGATTCTAAGTGCTGTCAAGTTGACAATATTCAACATCACAAATATATTCGCATTTCTTTTGGATAAATAGCCAGGCATAGGATTATGGGGTCATGTGTATTAGTCATGGATCTCTAAACTTACAGAATGAATATATATAAAATAGGGACTTATTAGAATGGCTTACAGGCTGTGGTCCAGCTAATCCAACAATGACTGTCTACCAAAGGAAGCTCCAAGAACCCAATAGTTGTTCAGTCCACAAAGCTGGATGTCTCAGCTGTCTTCAGTATATGCCAGAATACCAGAGAAGTAGCCTTTAATGTCAATGAATAAATGGGCTTGCCAAAGAGGGAGGGCAAGAGAGCAGAGAGAGAGAGAGGAGAGAGAGAGAGAGAGAGAGCTTCCTTCCATGTCCTGCCACCAAAAGGAGGGACCCAGATTAAAATGGGTCTTTCTTCTGCCTCAAAAGATCCAGCATTAAAACTAGGTCTTCCCACTTAAAATAATTAAATTAAGAAGAAAAAAAAACCACACACACACACACACACACACACACACACACACACACACACAAATCTATACATGCAGCTGGGCATAGTAGCCCATCTCTTTAACTCTAGCACTTGGGAGGCACAGGCAAGCAGATCTCTAAGTTCAAGGTCAGCCTGTTCTACACTGTGAGTTCTAGGACAGCCCAGTGCTACTTAGAGAATAAATAAACCACACACACACACACACACACACACACACACACACACACACACACGAATGGACTTTACTGAAAACCATGAATGTTCTTTGAATAAAAATTTTTCGAGATCAAAAAGAAAAAAGAAAAAAAAAGCCAGGCGGTGGTGGCACATGTCTTTAATCCCAGCACTTGGGAGGCAGAAGCAGGTGGATCTTTGTGAGTTCGAGGCCAGCCTGGGCTACCAAGTGAGTTCCAGGAAAGGCACAAAGCTACACAGAGAAACCCTGTCTGGAAAAAAAAAAAACAAAAAAAAAAAAAAAAGAAGAAGAAGAAAAAAAAAATCCCTCACCGATGTACCCAGCCACTTGGGGTTTAGTTCATTCCAGATATAGCAAGAACACCCATCATAAATCTACCCCTTGTCAATTTGACACACAATTGTACCTCCTTATGTCATGATTAATTTCCAAACGAAAACAATAAGCAGGTCATAATTATGCCTAATATAGTCTAACTATCCCACATACAATTGTAAATGTATTATATATTTAACCAGGTCATAACTACACCTAACATGATATAACTATCCCTCACAGAACTGCAAACACATTATAAATTTTAGAATAAGTGTCAAAGTCCTTTGAGAAATATTCTTTTGGAATCTCAAAACTTTTGTTTTGTTTGTTTGTTTTTTCAAGACAGGGTTTCTCTGTGTAGTTTTGGTGCCTGTCCTGGATCTCACTCTGTAGATCAGGCTGGCCTCAAACTCACAGAGATCCGCCTGGCTCTGCCTCCCGAGTGCTGGATTAAAGGCATGCACCACCACAGCCCAGCTGGAATCTCAAAACTTAAATATGTTATCTCTTATTGATGTTATATTTCATGATAAAGAAAATGTAAATATCTGTACAAACATTATCAAAATATAAACTATATTTTAAACTTTTTGTCATGATATTAATAGTCATATAGAGTACTAACTAATTCTAGAAAAAGGCTTCATCTAGCTTCCTGTACATGATGACAGGTTTGAGTCTCTATCAGGTGACTAGGAATTAAGATTTTTAACTCTGGATACACATGACAAATATTGATCCTTTAACCTTTTTGAGATCTGCTGCATATGACATTTAAAATGTTTAAGTTTTCTGCAATGAACCATGACACATCTAACAGCGACCTTTGAAGTCTCCAAAAGGATGATGGGGTCCTGCAACAATAATCCCACATGGACTATGATAACACCACTAACCTGACAAACACCACCTAAAGACAGGCTTTGGACTACGAACTGCTCAGGACAATCTTGAAGTGGCTAGCTGAGATGATCTAGCCTCACAGACTATTCTAGCCAGGACTTGAGACAAGCCATGCACTTTCCCATTATGTAGAGACTGAACAACAAATGATACAGCTACCTCTCCCAGTACTTGACAGTTAACCCACATATTTCTTTTCAGGGTCCTCTAGAGATGCCATCACCCCCAGACAGCAGGACATAAACTTAAGAACATGATGCCCACATTCTCAAGAGGTGGGGTGGGTGGTTTTTGGTCTTTCAACAGGTTATGGGTATTTGTCATCATTTAAGGTGGTTGGTTACAAGTTGTTATTGGTAATGGTCAGGAAAAAAACTAAACAAAAGAGATTAGATTTAGGTTTCTTGTTTTGAAAAGAAAAGAGGGGGATACAGATATGATAGGATGAAAGATTGAATCTACTCTGAAAAGAAAAGTAGGGATATAGGTATGATAGTATAAAACAATAGATAATTGAATCTACTTTTTAAAAACATGTACTAGTTTTAAATATTTTACATTGATATGGATCTCTGTATATTAATACAAAGTTGAGATTATTTTTGTTAGAACATACTGTACATACATTTCTAATCTTGTTCAAGGTATTGTATCTATACCTCTCATTTAACAATGTAATGCAAAATTGCTAGTTCTTAAAAGTTATTAAAAACTATTTAAAATAGGGGGCTGAAGAGATGGCTCAATGGTTAAGAGCACCGGATGTTCTCCCAGAGGTCCTGAGTTCAATTCCCAGCAACCACATGGTGGTTCACAACCATCTGTAATGAGATCTGATGCCCTCTTCTGGCCTGCAGGCAGAACACTGTATGCATAATAAATAAAATCTTTAAAAAAAAAAACTATTTAAAATAATAAATAAATGCAGGTTAGTAATTAGTCACCTATTACAATCAAGCTCATAGTCATATTAGGTATGTTTTCAAGGCCAAACAGATATATTTTAGATAGGTTGTCTTCAAACACTTCAGTATATACAGAATGTGGCATTTAAGATGTTTTAATAACATAGGTTCTTTTTTTTTAAATGACAGTGAGATATGTTTGCTCCTGGCAGCATCAATCTACTTTAGAGAAGGTGATGGGCATCAAAGAAACTCCATATGGAGATTAACACATTTCCTGGTACATGGTATGTGGCTGTTGATCTAGCAAACACCTTTTTCTTGATACCTTTCCATAAGGGCCACCAGAAGCGATTTGTGGCAAAAGTTAGCCACTGGGCACGAAAATGCCCTTGCCTCAACTGCTGACAGTATACTGTCCAAATGGGACAAGCAGGGCACAAAATAAAGGACTACTGAACTTTGCCAAGACAAGGTAGGACAGCCCTTCCAAATATCCTATTTCACAGAAAAGTCTGTCAGATATTCTAGGCCTGTAGGTGGAAGATGGTTGCCCCAACATTACAGACTCACCTGTCCAGGCAGCCATCTGTTTCTGTCATTTCTCACATTTTTTGGAAGTCACTTGCTTGCACTTCCTGTCAGGTAATATTATTTCCTTCTGGCGTCTCTGAGCGATTTGAAGACTAGATATTTATAGTTATAATTTTTCTTGTCCAGATTTAGAAAAGAAATTCACTAAAGAGGTGTAAAATGTATAAGGTTGAGAGATATCAAAAGATAGTTTTAGATGATAATGCAAGTTAGGATAGAAAGTAAATTAGGTACAAGACTTTAGACTCACCAAGATAAGATAGATAATGGAGTATTTTCTCTGAATTTATCAAATGCAAATGGACTAGGCATTGTTGATGTATTTATTGCCTATATATTTTATATAGTTATTGTACTTATTGTATATAGTTTTTCTTATAACCTTTTTTTAATTTTAGAAAAAAAAAAGGGAAATGTGGTGATACTTTGTTTGTGATCTAACAAAGCTTGCCTGAAGATCAGAGTACAGAGCTAAGCCACTAGTTAACCATAGAAGCCAGGCAGTGGTAGCATGCACCTCTAATCCCCACACTTGGGATCTCATGCCTTTGCTCCCAGTACTTGGGAGGCACACACACCTTTAATGCCAGCACTAGGGAGGTGGAGACAGGAAGTGATATGAATGGGGGGGAGAAAGGAATATAAGTTGGGAGAAAACAGGAGCTCAGATCTTTTAGCTGAGGAGTTGGTGAGGTAAGAGGTGGCTATGGCTTGTTCCTTTGTCTCTCTGATCTTTCA